TGGAAACAGAACATTCCCTTCAAGCAGAGCGCTCCGTTGCACTGTCATCGGCAAATTGTGCCTTGTTGAAAAGCCATCAAAGGAAGCTGACTTATCTTCCATGTGCTGCTTTACAGAAAATGGAACCACCATAAACTCTTGTGCCGTAATGATTTTCTGTCTTTCTTGATGAGACATAATGAGATAAATTCAAGACCTTTTTGAAGGCTAATTACATATTGCACACTCTAGACATCAGTTCTCCTTGTTAGATGTTGTGCCTCCCTTCCCCACACACACACTCCTCCAGTTTCTGTGTGTGCATGTGGATTTAGCTTTGCTTTGAAATACAAATTGGGATTAGGGAGGAGCTGTTTGTATTTTTTCTCCCCCCAGATCTTTGTAGATATTCTACGGTCACACAATGCATCGTTAGAGATAAGACAATACTTGCAGATGGAGGGGAAATAAATAAAAGGCCGGAATTTCACACTGAGCTGGGAAAGTGTTATAAACCATGCCAGTTCTTGAGTAGTTTACGAACAACCCTCCGGAATGAATCCAAACCTGAACCTGCTCCGGACTGGGCATTTCTGTGATTTAGAGCTTTGCGTATGGTCTGATCTTCAAACGTTCTCAATAGCCACAACTGAGAGCAGATTTTAAATCTATACAGCGTTTCTCGGTGCCTATGTGCAAAGAGCTTAGAGCTGAGCTCTTTGGGGTATTTGGTCCTTAAATTGTCATTTTAAATGTCAAGGTTCCCCTTTAACCTTTGTGAAAATGTCACATTCTTTGTGCACCAAGGATAAAGGCTGCCCGTAAACTCCTTCCCTCGGTCCTAAATATCGAACGTTACCCAAGCGTATGCGCCAGTCCCTTTTCTAAGTCGGAAGGAAGGAGAAGACCAACTGCTCTTGCAGAGGTGAGCACGGCTGAGAGCTGTGGGTTGGCTGGTCCCTCTCTTTTCTTGAAGCCAGAACGGCCAGTCACCCCTAGTGTGTAGAGCATAGAAGTATGGAGGATTGCTGTGTTCTTACCACACTGCCATCATGGGTGGTGGGCATCAGAGGGGGCAAACAGCCAGGCATGGCCCCACCCACATTCCACCCCTAGACCCTCTCTGCTTCTGTGTGGTTCCCTCCGGTCTCCTGGGGCTCATGCTCTGGGGCTGGAGAGGCCGTGCCTACCTGCTGCTGACCTTCCCTGTGCACTGGGGAGGCTGGGGCTGCACACTGCCTGCATGGGGGTGGCGTCTATGGGTGTCCTGAGGCAAAAGGGGCGGGCCCTATGGAGGAAGGGGCGGGCCCTATAGAGGAAGGGGTGGGGCTGCCCAAGTCCTAGGTTTATCCTCCATCCATACCTGCCATGTTTGTTGTTTGTTTCTGCATTGCAGCCCCATGTGCGGCAGCTATTGTTTTAATCTAGGCTGATTGGTTGATTTCAACATCACTCCCCACCCCGCCCCGCCCCCAGCATCAGGGGAGCTGACATCAGAGCAGCTTTTGCATCAGCCTTTTGTCGTGCTGTCGCATCCAATCTGAAGACGCCGATGTACAGGAATTGTGAGGCGAGACGTGTTGTGTGAGAGCTTTCATTTGCGCAAAGGCTGGGAATCGTCGAGCTGCAGAATTTACCCCGCCCCACCAAAAATAAAAAATAAAAAAAGAGAGGAAAAACAAACTCCACATTTTCATCTAACAGGACAGCACCATTTTGCTCTCAGATCCTGGCAGCAGATCTTAAAAACCGGCCCTCAGTTCTACATCAAGTTGTCGGGGTAGTGAGAGTTTTCATAGCTGCCAATACACCAGAGATCGGCTAGTTTTCCTTGCACGATATTTGCTACGCAACAACTCTGAATGACAGATTGAAAGTCTTTTTAATTTCCCTGTACTTTCTGTAAGTAGCTCTGAGTGCCTATGCCTCATTAGTAACAAGATGGCCATAACGATTTTACAGTGACTCTTAAGGAATCAGAAAAATGGAAGCATTTTGGGAGCTGGCTGGCGAAATGGGGATATGTGATTATTTTAGATGTCAGAAATAGCAGGAAAGACACTTCCCAAAAGGACTTGAAGTTTCCTTGTGCTGGTGATGGTCGATCTGGCAATTAATGAGCTAGTTTGCTTTCTTTTATAGGTCACAGACCTGTGCAAAACTGTACTTGCTACTATCATGGCTATGCAAAGGGACAGGGCAGAAAAATGACCAGGTTTTTCTAAAGGGCTCTGTGCCTAGTAGCTCCCAGTCCAACTTCAGTGGACTGGCCATATCTAGCCATTCCCACTCTGCACTACTGCACATTGAGCACTTGAGACTATCTAGCTGTTCGTCTTCAAGGGGGTGATCCTCTGCAAAGTGCAAGGTCCTTCCTTTGGTGAAGTGAAAGGCTCTCAGCAACTTGCAGGAAGAGCAACCAATGAACTTTGAGTCTGTGCTGACATCAGAACAGCCAGACTGGGTCAGACCAAAGGTCCATCTAGCCTTGGGTCCTGTCTGCCCACAGTGGCCAATGCCCGATGTGAACAGAACAGAGAATCATCAAGTGATCCCTCTTCTGTCGTCATTCCCAGCCTCTGACAAACAGAGGCTAGGGACACCATTCCTACCCATTGATGGACCTAACCTCCATGAATTAATCTAGTTCTTTTTTGAAGCCTTTTAAAGTCCTGGTCTTCACAACATCCTCTGGCAAGGAGTTCCACAGGTTGACTGTGTGCTGTGTGGAGAAAAACTTCCTTTTGTTTGTGTTAAATCTACTGCCTATTAATTTCGTTTGGTGACCCCTAGTTCTTATGACAGTTCTTTGAAATCAGACACAATTAATGTAAGCACATCAAGGCTGGGAGAGGGGGGGCAAGATTCCCAGCCTTGTCTGATATAGGGGAAAAAGGAGAACAAAAAATATAGCTCTCTGTCTGGAAGGCCCATCATACATATACATTACGGCTGGAGGGATTGTATTGTACAGTGAACATGTCTGGTTCAGGGTGTACCCAGAGAGAGCTGTGAAGCAGTTCAAAATTCTTCACAGGTTTTCTGGAAGACACCCTAGGGAAATGGCTTTTTTTTGTTAAGAAAGTATTAAGGCATCTGAAATTGCCTCCTTGCCAGGGCGGCGTGATTATTTTATTTGCTGAGACGTCGATTTCTGGGATTGGGGCATCTTAAACGAAACCCACAGAACATATTTTATCATTCTCCGAATCTGGGGTCTGAAACTGTGAGAAAGCAAAGCTTTGATGTTTTCTAATGCAGAGAGAGACAGCAAAGATCTAATAGGTCTAATATACTCAGCAAGGAAAATAAATATCTGACAAAGGCAGCTGCTAGAGAAATCAATGGCCCGAATTGGTCTCATTCTCTTCTGCACACATATTTTAACTGTGTATCCCATATCAGCACCCTGCCCCCTGTTGTATTTTGTAAATTGTTCACCAGCAAAGAGTGCATGATTGGTTGTTGTTGTCCCTTTCACTAAGGTTGGGTCTACTCGGCAGCAGCTCAGAGAGCCATGCATGGACTAGCTCTGCTCAAGATGACAAGCTAAAAATAGCAGTTTGGCCAGGGTGGCATGGGCCAGTTGCCAAAGTACAGTCCCATCTGAGGGCTTGTCTAGTCTTACCCGGAAATTGATCAATCTGGCATTTGATTTAGCAGGTCTGGTAAAGACCTGCGAAATCAAATGCTGCTGGCACCTCCATTGACCCTGGTACTCCACGGGGTGGTGAGCAGTAAGGGAAGTGGATGGGTGAGTTTCTCCCGTCGACCTCCCACAGTGGGGCTGCTGGAGAAATTCGATGTAAGGTACGTCGACTCCGGCCATGCTCTTCTCGTAGCTGAAGCTGCGTATCTTAAATCAAATTCCTCGCACAGTGTAGACCTGGCCTGAGATGTCCCCCGTTTGCTAGGCTGAGCTGCTGGCCCATGCAGCCATGGTCACACTGATGTGTTTAGCATGCTGGCTTGAGCAGAGCTAGAGCATGAATGTCTTTCTGAGCCGGGAATGCCACCTCCCCGCTGCCATGAGGAGACACTCCGCAGACCCATGTTGAAAGGACACGGGCAGGCACGAATCTTGGCGGGAAGAACTTAGTCTTCGGTTCCTCTCTTACAGTCTGCCGACCTGGATTCTTCAAGGCTTCTCCCCAGAGCCCCGCCTGCAGTAAGTGCCCCCCTCACAGCTACACGCACGAGGAAGCCTCCACCTCCTGTCTGTGTGAAGAACACTACTTCAGAAGGGAGTCGGACCCGCCCACCATGGCCTGCACAAGTAAGCACGCGCTGGGGGTCTTCTCATCTGCTGGCGCTGGGACGTGCCAGGAATGGGCCGCAGGGCAATGAGGAAAGTGCTTTTGCACACTTGGGGCCTGGCCCTGACCTGGCTCGTGCAAGCTGTGCGCGGCGGTAATCCATTGGCGTCGTCTAAACTATTCCTGGTTTGCACGCCTGTGCTGGAGAGCAGGCTCAGGGCCTTTGCTGCTAAAGTAGGCCTGGGATCCCGGGGGTGTTTGTGGAGCTCAGCATGTGGAACTAGGTAGGCAGCATCTTGAATCGAATGCTGGTGTGTGTGTGTGTGTGTGTGTGTGTGTGTGTGTGTTTATTTAAAAGGGCCCATGGCTGTTGGGTACCACTGCTGATATATCGACAATGGCAGCAGCCGGAGCTCTGGGTCCTTTCAGTCATCACTGAAGCACCAGGCATCGTGTGCCCAGTGCTGCTGAGGGGCTGTCTAAGGGAGGCAAGGCTCCAGCCCCACCCTGCCCCTTCCATCGGAAGCCCCGCCCCTTCCATCAGAAGCCACGCCCCTGCCAGGGGCCCAGAGCTGGTCCCCCCACACCTTGCCCGTGGCCTGGGGAAGTCCGTCAGCCACCCTGTATGTGTGCGTGCTATACAGTTATTTAGCTAGAGACCTAGAGCAGTGGTCACCAACCAGTAGATTGGGATCCCTTGGTAGATCTTTGAGCCTCTGAAAGGTGATCCTGACTCGTGTGGCCAAGAGCCTGTCAAGGACCGACACTTCAGCTGCTCCTCCCACCGCTGCTGCGCATCTCCTGCCCTTTGCCTTTGAGCTGTCCCCTCAGGAGCTTCCTGCTTTCTGTGCAGGGCAGAGGAGGGGTGCTCATGTCAAGATGCCCCCCTCCCACTCTGTATCCTAGCTCCACAGAGCAGAGAAGGGGCACAACAGGACTTGGGATGGAGTTTGCTGGCTGCTTTTGGGACTGTGTAGGGTGAGTGTAGGGTGAGCCTGTCTTAGACCCACTGCACCACCACCCAGGAGCCACCTGAAGTAATCAGTGCCCAGCTGGAGCCCACATCCTGAAACCCTACCCCAGTCATGAGCCCCCTCCTGAACCCCAAACCCTGCCCCAGCCCCGAGCACCCCTGCATCCAAAAACCATCCCAGAGCCTGCACCTAGAACCCCCTCTAGAACCCCAAATGCCTGCCCCCAGGCTAAGCTTAGAGCCCCTCTCTCGCTCCAAATTCCTTAATCCAAGATCACAGCCTGCACCCCAACCCTCTGCCCTAGCCTGGTAAAAGTGGGAGAAAGGGGGAGGCAGGGAGGAGGACAGAGTGAGCAGGGGCGGGGCCTCGGAGAAGAGGCACAAAGGAGGCAGGACAAGGGTATTAGGGTTTGAGGAAGATCTTGGCTTACACTTAAATTCAAAAAGCGATCGCGCGCTTAAAAAGCTTGGAGAGCACTGACCTAGAGAGAGACAAGATATGGGGCGCTACTTACTGTCACACGTTTCATTTCCCGTTAATCAGCTTGAGCAATCAGGGAAGTAATGAGGCCTCTAGCACCCCTAGCTACTTTGGGAGAATGACGTTTGACTGGGGCCGCTGATTGTCCACCACTGCCGCAAGGAAGAAACCATAGGTCCACGATGTTCAGTGGAGGGGGAGGCAGATCTTGCAGGGTTAGAAATAATGAGGGGGCTGGTTTGTTGGCAGTTGGGGACAGAGAGAGGACAATGGCAAATGATGGATTGAAATTGTTCTTTTCCCACAAAGTGGCAAGTTACTTTCCCATCTGCAGCTTATAGATCTCTACAGGTTGAATCTCTCTACTTCAGCAATACCCATGGTCCGACATGATTGTAGCCAGATGTCCACTCATCAGGGGTGTGGCCAAGTTTCCCACAGTCCCATAACATTTATTTTCAGCCACCAGTCCTGGCTCTCAGGGTTCTGGGCTGTTACTTACCTCTAATTTACCCCGCAATGTCTTCTAAGAGCCCAGCAAGCAGTGGAAGGTCGGCAGTATTGACCTCCCGTAGTTCTGCAAATTCTCTTGTTCAGCACTGGTCAGGTCCCGAGGGTGCCGGACAAGAGGGGTTCAACCTGTAGCTGCATCATGTCCGCTTCCTCTTCTAAATAGTTAGGCTCTGGTCCTGCCAAGACTTACGCACTTGCATAACCTCATGCTCTCAGAAGTTCCAGGGCAGTTTGCTTACCACGGTGCCGAAGAGCAGGAGTGTGCATATGTCTTTACAGGACTGGGGCCTTGACCGGACACGGCACAATATTCCAGATAGGCTTTTATAGCAGAAAGGGAGCGGAAAGTCACCAGGAAAGTAATGGCGCTTCTAGGGACGGGAAGGGGCAGAAATGAACCTCGGAGAAAATACAGAACCAGTATAGTCTGAGCAGCAGGGATGAGGTAAAGGAGTGTCCTATCTCCATCTTCCTCCTCTCCTATGAAGGGGCTGTTTTCAGTAGCAGATGGCGACACATCTGCATGCCCGTCAAACGGCTGTGAACCAATCAGCCACGTGCCATGTCCTGGTGGTTATTTGTCAAGTATCCTCCCTGCAGAAAACAACAGGCAAGCAGCCCCCCTATGCCATTTCTAAGCTAACCCAGACAAATCAAAAGAAGCCTGGGGAGAGAGGCACTAGGGCAGCTGTGGCCAACCCACAGCTTGCGAGCCGCATGCTGCTCTTGTCTCCAAAAGTGCAGCCCACGAATCCGCTCCTGTGCCCCCCATGGCCTCCACTGGCTCCCCCCAGCTTCCTTGTGCTTACCGGGTTGGAGCCGAGGGGTTTTAAAAATGGTACCCAAGATGGCGGCTGTCTTAAAGAGGCAGCCTCCTTTTTAATTTTTTGTTTTTGTTTTTGTTTTTGCTTGACAATTCTGGAGGGGGGGGGTTTCTGTGGGGTTTTTTTTGTTTTTTTGCTTGAGAATTCTGGTGCGGTTCTTCGCATTTTTTCCGCTGCTGGTTTGGCTCTCTTTTTTAAATGGGTTGGCCACCCCGAAATGGGAATAAATAAGGACTCAGGCTGGGGGGCCCAAAAAGTGACAGCTTCCCACCCATTTCTTCCAAGGAATCGAGCTGCCCTTTCTGGCTGCTTCCATGTTGCCCTCTCTTTTGGTCCTGGTTTTGTTAGTTGCTGCATCCCTTTGCATCCAGGGCTCTGAAGGAGGACAGCTCGCACTACGCGGAGGATCCGGGCCTAACCTAGGAGCGCTAAAATCCATTTAGTTTTCCAGGAGAAAGCGACCTCGAGCAGGCTGCCCTCTGGAAAGGGCCACGAGACTCCAGGGAGGAGAAGAACTCCCTTGTAAAATCAAGACATTCCCAGCATGGCTAGATACACATGTAGGGCAGAGTTCACCACGGGGCTTCCAGCAAGTTAGCTCCCCAGCCTGCACTGCAATTTAGTGGTTAATTTCCCGGTTTCAGAGGAGTCGCCATGTTGGTCGGTTTCAGCAAAAACAAGGAGTCCGGTGGCACTTTGAAGACTTAACACGTTTATTGGGGCGCTCGGGCCTCAGCTTTGCGAGATGGGTGTGTCTCTGTGACGGTCCCGGCCATCTCGTTCTGACATAAGTGGGCCATACTCTGCTAGCAGAAAGCATGGGCGGCGGGTAATACAGGCAAGGGGAGGCATTGCCTTCCCTAAACTGCGCACACTCTCCACCTGCTGGGGAGGACCGGGACTGCAGTGTGCCCGAGTTGGCCCTCCAGGAGGTCAAGAAGGATTGGGCTGGGGTCGGGTGGGGCTTGGCTCCATCGGGGGTGTGGGTGAAGGGGTGGGGCCTTAGGTAGATGGGGTGGAGCTGGGGCTTGAATTCCCCAGCTGGGCCTTCACCCCCTGCCCATGATGCCAGCACGGGCATTAGCGGAGTATTGGGGTATTTCTCAGGCAGATGGAAGTGATAACACCCGCAATCTGCAACCACTCCCCTACCAATGCACTCCAGTTTGTGGCTCATGGGTGTATGTTACTGTAGGGTGAGGCGCAAAGACCCATGTCGTAAGCAGCAGCTAGGGAGCTGTCCTCCAGAAGTTGTTCTGCCTTTTTATCAAACTCCCTGCCGCAACCCATCTTGGTCCTCTCGAGTGAAACGATGAAAGTCAGTGGCCACTGCACGGTTACATGCAGGAATTAAAATCCCACATCAGGAGTCACTGAGAGGAGTACAAGTGAGAGACACTACATTTCTGTCGTTTCCTCCTTTTAGAATGTAATAGAATCATGAAAATAGCAAGTTGGGAGAAGTCGGCTAGTCCAGACTTGTGCACTGAGCTAATACTGAAGAGATTTCATCTACTTGAAATCTAGTAAAAGGACACCTTAAAATTAGTTTTAAGTATTACAGTGTCAAATCCCCCTCCTGATATTTGTGGTTTTATAATGATGTTTTCCTGACTTTGTTTCAAAGTGCTTGTCAGTTTCGTGTTGCTATATGAAAGACCAACAGAGGAAATTGATTAACTTACCCTAGAAGAAACTAACCATATATGAAGGGGATGTCCAATGCTCATAAACAAAAAACCACCACCACCAAAAAAAAAAAAAAAAAAAAGAAAGAAAGAGATGATTTTGTTTTTTAATTTTTTTTAAGTTTTAGTTTTGAAACAATAAGCAACCATTTTATTTTTAAATGAGTTTTAAATTGACGATGCCCTGTTAAAATTTGGAGTAATGTGCTCAGTTTGACACTTTCTCAGAGAATTTTGTGAACATTCTCACTGCCCTAGCTTTTAGAAATAAAGTGATAGCTTTCTTTCCTCTTTAGGACCTCAATGTATAAGGATATTCATACTTTTGAAATGTATGGCCACAGTGGAGAAGTTTTCAGATGGTATAAAATGCAACATACAACGAAGGTTTCTGATGAGAACATTTCAGGTAACATTTTGCCCTCAGAAAAAGAAATCCACAATTCGTCTTAATGTGAATTGTGCATAAGTATTAGCAGGCAGAATTTGTCCCTGAGAATATATTTATAAACCACACATGTTGGTTTAATAGTTCAGATTCATTGTCCATCAAGGGCAACGTGGACTTTGTCTTCAACTAGCATTTACCTTTTTAGTCAGCAACTCATCATCTGGGGTGAGTGAGTATCTGCTTAACATACACATTAGCTATCTTTTTTATTATGGTTATTTCAGTCACTTCTTTGTCCTTGAGGAAGGAAGGTCATAAATAAAAATGCACCTTTTGAGCAGATATCAGGTGCCCCCGCCCTCAGAGACTAAAACAGCTTTTTATTCTCACTCTTCTGATTGTTTTCAAAGTTTTAGTGGTGCACAATTCCAAGATTCCTCATATAGGACTTGTTAGATTTCTCCAGATGACTAAGGACCATTTGTAGAGCCCCTTTGATAATGCTAATTTTGTGGATTAGGACATGCCATTAACTTCAAAGCATTGCTATTGAAAGGGATGTTTTTAAGCCTTCAAGAAGAGCAGCTGACTCTGCTGAACAAAGCAAATAAAAACTGCTGGCTACTTTTAGCAAAGTAATAATTTATCTGCTATTAAAGACACATTGTCCAATAAGTGTTTCTTGTGTTTGCATCTTCCCCTGCCGCCTAGTTTGCTAGAAGTTGTAACCAGTGCATTCACATAATGGAAAGAAAAAATGGGGAACTGAACTCATCAAAAGTAGGTGTGCGCAATGCACATAAGCCAGTGCCACTGAATTTCTTTAGCTTTGCTTGTCTCCGTATGAGCATGACAGGACAGAAAGTTGTTCTAAGTAGCCATTAGCTAAATGGTTCTGGTTTGTGAGAGTTCATGTGGAATCCATAAAAAAAATTCTCTCATACCTTTTGGGGAATGCGTCCTGCCAATTCCCAGAGCTTGTATGAGTTTCCTTCTTTGCACCGGTTTAACTTCTGTTTTCCACGCTGTATAGTTTGAAATATTTATCAATAGAATGACTGTAGTTCCTATGCATGAAAATTTCCCATTGACTACAGTAGAATTTGCACATATTCTGTAATCCATTCCTTGTGGTTCTGTCTTGCAAACTTGACCATATGTTTTATTTTAAACATGCCATTGACTTAAATGGGACTACTCACCTACTGAAAGCTATGTGCATGCATAAATATTTGCAGGATTCAGGTTTTACTGGCCTTTTAAACCCCTCCTCTTTGGACTCTGAGAGAAGACACACACAGACAAATTTTCATCCATGGCTCCCTCAATTGCACACTTAAATAGGTGCTTCAATGCTCATCCACTTGCTTGTGTGCGCAATTAAAGCAGTCAGTTTTTAAAATGGATATAGCTCCAAAACCACTGAGCCGCATTTCCTGAGCCAGTCCTCGTTCATTGCTTTTGTTTTAATTTTACACGAGGGGTTATTTTCTTTTTATTTAGGTGACAGCAAGTTTCTCTTAGAATGGGCTAAAACGGCATCTCCTAGGAGAATTAGAGCACCATGAGCTGAAATGAAACACGTGCTGTGCACATGGCTACGGGGTTTCCCAATGAGTTTTATCAATGTTACAGACCTCAAAAAGAAAATAGGGAAAAAATGAGGCGGGGAAAAAGCATATTATTTAAAAAAGAATTTCAGCTTCACAAATATTTCAATATGCTTAATTATAGCACTAGGCTAGCATCACACAGAACCAGGAAATGCAGTTATATAAATATGTATGAACTTCCTGGGAGAGGGGAAAGGATTTAGGAGCTGGCCTCCAAGGAGATATACACGGATTTTGCCATCTCAGGGAGTTTATCACTTTGTTTCCATTCAGACCGAGTGGGAGTTGAGTGTCTGACTCCTTTTGGCTTTTGAAAATTCCAGTGGCACTATGATTAAAAATCAGTGAAATTCTTAAATGTATGTTCCTTTCTTCCTCCTGCTTCACAATGCAGTTGGTGTGCAATAGACAGATCCGTTGTTAAGATCACCGACATGTTATGTGCTACCACCATCCTTCTGTACACAACTGGCCTTTCACATCAAAGGAAAAATTTATCCCCCATTTCCAAGGCCAGAGTATACAAAAATACATGTTGAACCTCTCTAGTCCAGAACTCTCTGGTCCAGAAATATTTGTGGCCTGGCATGATTTTAATTAGCCAGATGGCCACTTTTCATGGGTGTGGGAAGTTTCCCACGGCCCCATAAAATTTGTTTACAGCCCCCAGTCCTGGCTCTCAGGATTCTGGGGTATTATTTAGCTCTAATTTACCCCTATGTGTCTTCTAAGAGCCCAGCAAGCAGTGGAAGTGTTGGTAATGCTGCTAGAAAACACTCACCTCCTGTGATCCAGAAAGTTCTCTGGTTCGAAATCGATCCAGTCCTGAGGGTGCGGAACTAGAGAGGGTCAAACTGCATTTCCTAGTTTGGCTGGGTTTTTTTCTTTTTCTCCAAAATCATTAACTGTTTTCAATTCAGAAAGATTAACAGGATTCAGGGAAGAAAATTTGATCCTTGAGATGATTATAACCTTTGCCCACGTGTGAAATCCCGTTGACTTCACTGGGAGTTCCACCAGAAATTTTAGCCAAGGTTTTCAGAAGTAAGTAGGGATTTGAGAGGTGCCTAGACGGTCAGCTGTCCAACTTGAGCCTCCTGAAAGGGGTCTGATTTTCAGAGGGCGCATGCCCAGCAAATTCAAATGCCTGAAATAGAGGCATCCAGAATCATGAATCACTTCTGAAAACCTTGCCTTGCGTGTATAACATGGCCCTTTGCAAAGGAGGGTCACTCTTCGAAGAAAAAGCTGCGTCAGCCCCTTTTAACTCTTGAGTCCCCTTCCCAGGGTTCTGTGGACATTGCGAGCTTCTAGCTTAGGAACTGGAGAGTCGCTCTCCCCACATGTTAGCAGGCAGTACTTTGGCAAGATGGAGGAAAAGGCTGCAGCTGTGGGCATTGACGCAGTCATAGACCTTACAACGTGGGGGGGGGGGTCAAACTTTTTTTCTCGTGACCCTGTTGAAGAAAATTGTTGATTCTGTGACCCAACATAATTTGACTAACGTGCAGACACTGGAATGGGGCTGAGGAGGAGCTTTGGGGTGTAGGAGTGGCCTCTGGCTTGGGGGGGGCAAGTCAGGGCTGGGGTCGGCGGGGCTTACGTTAAGCGGCTCCCAGTCGGCGGTGCATAGGATTACCAGATACTTTCCCAAAAAATACCGAACGTATGTGGAGACCTGTGAGCTCTCTCACCCCCACCCAGGAGCCGGGCCTGCTGCTCCCCCCTTTTGGGGCACAGCGCAGTTTGTGGTGAGGGTAAAAAAGTGGTTGAGCCTAAAAAAAAAAGGACCAAACTTGTTGAGCCAAAAAAAAAAAAAAAAAGGGTACAAGAAAAAGAGTCATTGCGCCTTTAAATCCCAGCACTCCACACACTAAGGCCACTTCCTGCCTCTCCTGGTACCACAGACCAGAAGCAGCCAGCAGCAGGTCCCCAGCTAATGGGAGTATGTGGAGACCTGTGAGCTCTCTCACCCCCACCCAGGAGCCGGGCCTGCTGCTAGCCCCTTTTGGGGCACAGCGCAGTTTGTGGTGCCGGGTCAGGCAGGGAGCTGCCTTAGCCCCTCTCCCGCCCCCGCCCCCTTTTGCTGCTCACCTGCTCCCCCATCAGCAATGAAACCCAGTGCCCAGCATTCCACCCCCCAGTGCTGGGCTGCGACCGGCAGTTTTCAAACCACCAGCCTTATAACCTGCGTAGAGCCACCTCCCGCAGCTGGCAGTGTCCTTCCCAGCTCAGGTGGCCACCCGAGGGCTAGCGTAGCCGTCGCTAAGCGCCCTGGAATCACCAGCGTGGGCACGGAGACGCGGGCAGCGGAACGGGCCAGGAGCCCGAGTACCCGCCCGTCTGAGGTTTGCGTTTGGGCCGCTCGTCCGAGCCGCTCCCTCACGTCACGGCCATAATCGAGCAGAGCGAGCGTGTCTCAGTCTGCCTGAGCCAGGAATCCCAGCTCCCAGCTGCCGTGTAGGCATCGCTTTCAGGGGAAATCTTAACTCCACTGAACTCAATGGCAAAACCCCCATTGACCTCCATGGGACCAGGATGCTTGGAGCCCCTGTGAGGGAGCGGGTTGGGTCCGCTACCCCTCCCTGGTTTCCCCCCTCAGCTAGGTGGGTGGGTCCCAACACGCCCGGAGGGGCAGCTAAGAGCGACTCCGCTGGACGGATGGTAACGCTATTTTCACCCTGTGTTTCTCTCACTTTACTTTACACCCCAGGACCCCCCTCAGCTCCTCGGAATGCCATCTCAAATGTTAACGAGACTAGTGTCTTCCTGGAATGGATTCCCCCGGCTGACACTGGTGGAAGGAAAGATGTGTCTTATTATATTGCATGCAAGAAGTGCCGCTCCCCCCGGGGGCCGTGTGAGGCGTGCGGCAGTCATGTCAGGTACCTCCCCCAGCAAAGCGGCCTGAGAAACACCTCTGTCATGATGGTGGACCTGCTTGCTCACACAAACTATACCTTTGAGATTGAGGCCGTGAACGGCGTGTCCGACCAGCGCCCCGGCGCCCGGCAGTATGTCTCTGTCAATGTAACCACCAATCAGGCAGGTAAGTGGAACTTCGACAGGGGGCTAAGTTTCCGGGGTGGGGGCCCTGTTCTTTCTGGGGGTGGGACTCCCGTTGAAATAAGCAGAAGTCACCAGTCTGGGCTGTAAATCCTAGGCAGGCAGGTCTTCCCCTCTTGTTTCACAGTAGGACGATTCCAGAGTTGGACGCGCGGGAATGTGCCCTCTCAGCAGGATGCAGTGGGGTGAGAGATTCCCGTGTTTAATTAAAACCAAAAGCCTTGGTGGTTTAAGGTGCCCGTGTCGCCACCCGCTAACGCAGAGGAACGCAACCGTCTCCCTTATTGGCAGAGGGGCGTCCTGTGCATCTCCGACGTGGCGCCATGGCCCTGGCTTAGCGGACGGCTCGTGGGCACTGAAAACCCGACGGCTGACCGTGTGCTGCTGCCAGTGGAAGAAGCAAACCGACTGGGGGCGAGGCGGTGTCGCTGGCTCGCCCTGGCTCAGCTCCGGGATGTCTTTGCTCATGGTCTCCTTTCAGTTTTGCGTTGCGCCAATGGAGAAGCGGAGGAACTTTTCCCCCTTCCCTTGGGCAGAAGCAAAGTGGGGAGGGAATAAGGAACATGGGCAGGATTACTCAGCTCACACCCAGGGGAGCACAGACACCCTGAGGAGCTTGAGGAAGGGGGAGCCAGGGTTATGCCCCCCACATAGGACACAGCCCTATGGGCCCTCTCCTTGCGTTTCTCTCACCGTGGGTGTCACTGTGAGTAGAGTCCTGGGAGACCCTATCACAGGGCTAGGAACCTTTCTTGGGCCAGGGGCCACAAGTGAGAATAAATAAGCCCCCCACCCCTTAACTCCCTCACAGACATGGCCCCCAACTGAGAAGGAGAAAGATTCTCCCCACATTTCCTTCCCATACCAGAGCATAGAGGGCTCCAGGCTAGTAGATTTTGTGTGCTCCAGCCGTGCAGCGGGGTGGGGGTTGGAGCACCAGCTGGGAGGGAGCCCGGAGCTTCGGGGGCTGGATTCAGGCAAGCCGGGGGCCTCATCCAGCCCCTGGGCCTTAGATTCCCCACTACTGACCTATCAGGTTCTGCCTTGCTTCACTTTCCCTCCTTCCAAAGTGCTGTGTTGCAAATGGCCTTCCTTATGGGAACCACTCCGACCCGCCTCCTGCTCCGCCTGAGAGCATGAAGTGGGCCTTCCGGCAGGGGAGGTCCCTACCCCTTGCACAAGCACAGCCGGCCGGCACATTTGAGAGCACGGGCCTAGCCTTAGGAGCCAAACTCTAGCAACGACAGTGCATGGTTCTGTTGCCTAGCCAGCTTCCCCTGCTCCTCCTGAAGGAAATGCTGGAGAAACCTGGCACGCGCTAAGGAGGGGCAAATCGATTTCCGAGTCACGGCCGCAAGGCAGAAGGATGCGAGGCCGGGCGGGATGGAACGTCATGGGGACGGCGCAGGGACGCGATGTGTTGTAGCAAATCGAATCTGGGCTCCGGCAATGAGTTTGGCTTGCTGATGTGTCAGGCAAACCGTGGCAGAGGAAATCAAGGCACGATGGCTGTACTGCTGATTGACAACACAGGGAGCCTTCAAGAGTAGGGCTGGCGTGTGTCAGTGTGACACCTGCAACGAACACCTCTCCCAGATGTCTCCCAGCTGTTCTCTCGTTAGGCAAAATACGCATGCCTGGTTATTGGGCTGATGGTGGCATTACATAAACAGCAGTGGGCGTTTCCCTGATGTGCAGAACTAACAACAGCTCAGTCAATGTAGAAGACCAGAGATGACCGATCACCATTTTCTATACGGCAGCACTTCCGCCTTGTGAGCGAGGCCCAAATCTCCCGGGAATTGTGGGGGCAGTTAGACCTGTGGTGCCCAACACGCTAGCCACACGTGGCTGTTAGGCTGCTTGAGTGTGGCCAGTCGGCTTGCAACATTATTTACATTTTCAGCGTAGAGCGGCCAGTTGCTCTAGCAGCAGCCACTGTCACGGCGGGTTGCACACCATGGAGTGAGACGCGGAGCTGGCTGTTGGCGCGCTGAGGTCAGGGTGCACCCTCTGCACCGCTGTGACCACGTCCTCTGTGGGGAACTCGGTGCCTGCAGCTTGAGGGTGATACACACAGCGCGTGTCAAAGTAATAATGGGCGCCCCAGCCCAGATGCACGCGAGCGGCCGTCGGGTTTTATGCCAGCAGTGGAATCGCATGGGGTAGCCCCACACCTCCCCAGGGCCATTTAGAGAGGGCAGAGGGAGCTGAATGTACCCGTTCGTGTAGATTCTGTGCACGCCTTGCTGTTCCCTTGTGGCCACAGCCAGGGAGCGGGAGGAAAGCTCCCAGTTTCCTGCAGTCTGCTCCCTCCTGGCTGGAGGGGTGGGGGCAGAGGGGTGAGTAACCCAGGCTGGGAGCTTCCCTCCTGCTCACGGACAGCGACTGAAGGGAAACAGCGAGCAGCAAGCAGTGGTGGGAGTCAGGGGGGTGGCTTGCCCTCCCTAAAAGGTGCCCTTGCCCTCCCCATACTCTGCTCCACACTCCAACCCCCTGCCCTGAGGTCCCTAGGCCTCCAGCCCCCTGTCCTAATTCCTGCACCCCCAGCCCAACCCTCTGCCCTGAGCCTCTCCTCACACCCCCAACCCTGACTCCTCCACCCCCCTCACACCTGCTTCCTGCCTTGAGCCCCCCTCATTCCACCCCACACTTGAATTTTTTACAGGTATTGTCATATAACCCCCTCCCCCAGCTGCCTGCCCTGAGCGCTCTCCCTGCTGGGCAATAGCATAGCACCTGTAAGAAATGCAAGTTCCTTTCACCCTGAATTACACCATGGTGAATTGGATCCCGTGTGCTTATTTCCCTACTCAGTTTTGAGGTGACATCTTTATGCTTCCTCTGTTTGATTCAGTAGGTGGTGGTGGCACACTCCAGTACGTATCCGGGTAGACCTCATTCAGTCCTGTTCACATGAAATAATAGAGCCAGGAGAATGCACTGTTTATGGTTCTGCCTTCAGTCCTTAGCCAGAAGATGGGCAAGGTCTGTTTGCATGGGAAGAGCTTAGAAGTTTAGGTTGCTCCCTGCCGTTTGATAGACCATTAAATAACAAGTTAGAGTATCCTTTGTGCTGGGAGATAGAGCTAGACTTTCTCCCTTTGGCTTTCCATGGGAATTGGACATCTGACTGCCCTCTCTGCCTTTGAGAAACGCCTTCATGACCAACAGACGAGATGTGCAAAGGAGTCTATGGCCACCACAACCACCACCACCACAACTGCTGTCTATCAGCCACTTACCCGAGATTGACTTGTGTGACCCACAGAGAGCCAGTAGGTTTTATACACCTCCAGCTCTTACTGACCTGATTGAGAGTTCTCCATGTCTTAAGATGTCCAGTTGGGCCCTTCCATCACTGTGGACCCAATGAGAGCTCAAGAGTCTAATTCTTCATTCCATTATACTAGTTTCATGCCAGTACAGAACCATGATGGCATAAAGATGGTGGGGAGCGGGGTTTGAGAATCAGGCCATGTCTTTGCATCTGGAAGTTTGACGTGGTCGATCTTTCAGAGTTCGATTTAGCGGGTCTAGGAAAGACCCGCTAAATCGAACGCTGAGGGTGCCTCCATTGATGCTGGTGGTACTTGAATTGTGAGAAGCAAGGGAAGCGTTCCCATTGACTTCCCACTGTGGAGACAGTGCCAGAGTCTGAGCAATTAATGTTGCTGGAGTTGCTTGCCTTGATTTGAACTTCCACCTAAGTATAGACGTGGACACAGACTGCTACTGGGTAAGTTGAAGGACTAAATTAGGCGGGGAAGGAAGCCCTGCTATAAGAAATACTGGCCCGTAGAAATTAAAAATGGCATGTCATGATTAAGGCCTAGTAGACACACTCGTGTTGACAGAGACTTACTAAGCAGCACCGCAGATGGAATGCTTGGTTGTGTTCTTTCGGTTTGGTTTTGTCAATCCCAAGACCTTGCTAATTTCAGAACTTTTTAAAAAATGCACAAGCAGTAGGATATTGGCCATTCCAGATGCTTTTTTATATATGAAACCTTTGGCAACCAACTGTGTGTATCTGGTTTTGGGTTCCTGAAGGGATTGTTTCCTGGAAAAAAAAATTGTTTTCCTTAAGTAATTTGTCTCTCTTTCTCTTGCTTTTTCTTAAAAAAAAAAGAAGAAAAAAAAAAAACAACCTGGCACCAGTAGTCAGTCTAGCATTTTCAGACTGATGTAATTTTCCTTTCTGACTGCAAGACATGTGTGAACCGTCTCGATTCAAAATTAGATTTGAGAGTACAAAAAGAAAAATAGCTGGCTCTTTGTGCAAGATGGGGAAAAAAATTACAGTAAGCCAGGAGATGAAATTGATTAGTTAACCCTGACTGATCAGTATATGGAATCCAATAATGATTTTCTGCTGAAGAAGTTGACTGATGAGCTAATTAATGAATGACTGCCTATCAGTATGAAAAACATTGTCACAACACAGTAGCATTGCAGCCTCTAAGAGGACAATAATAAAAGATCTTATGTGCAGGAAAGAGTTTATAAGAATGGCTCCACCGGCTCAGACCGCTGGGCCACCATGCCAGGTGTTCTGTCTCTGATATGGACCAGTACCCGAGTGTTAGGGAACTGTACAGAGCAGGCAAATGGTGCGATCAGTGGCTTAGTGCCAACCAGTACCATCTCTGGACATCTCAACCAATAGTCATTGAGGGCCCTACTTTGTACACACATATCCGATAACTCTATTATATTTTTGGACATCACAACATCTCATGGTAAAATAAGTTCCTTGGGTTAATTGTGCGTGGGGTGAAGAACTTCCACTTGTTTGTATGAAACCTGTTATCTATTCAGGAGGAAGAGAGACACCATCTCTGGGCACCCCTTCTGGTATCCCCACAAAGGGATACCTGCAAAGGGATACCACCCCAGCTAGTACCTCGGGGATGAGAGATGCTCTTCCCCCCAACTCCTGGTGGCATTGGCTACAGGCTGCACCATCCCCAGCCAGCTCAG